ATTTAAAGTTGTAATTAATGTGGCTATATGTTGAATGTCGGTCTTCAGTGCCTGTTTCATGTGGTCTTTGGGTAGGTTGTCTATTAGTTGTCTTGTTTCGTCAACGTAAGTTTCGAATGATGTTAAGCTCGTCGTGTGTCCCAAGTACCTGTATTCGTCCCAGATTGTCACGTCTCCGTCAGCTATGGGAATGTAGTCCGCGTGTGAATAGTCATTAAGTCTTAGTGTCGCTTCGGTCACAGTCAGCGTTGTCATATTAAGAGCCAAAAAGTATCGTAACCTAAAGTAAGATGTATTTTAAAACTTATTCGTCTAAAAGTTCAGCTTCTGAGGAAAAAGTTTTTTTCTACTTATGGACCACCCTCCCTTTAATTAGAACCGTCATACCCAGGTCCGCCTCCACTGTTGCTTCAGTGAATAGGGGCGAAAGTTTATTCCCAAATCTTCTGTTCGTTTTTAATCATACTTTCCCACCTACTTTATAATTTTTCTGGACCCTGTTCTTGCTCTGGTGTTCCAACGATTTTTCTTGTGCGGCCATGATTTTCTCTTTTATTTTTACAGCAGCTTCAATAGGGATTGAATGGATAATTTCTATCGTCTTCTTTTTCGTAACCGACCTATTATATTTTATCGTCGCGAGGAGGATATTGTCGACAGTGTCTTCAATATGGTTTCCATTTTTAAGACAGCGACTTATGTCCCCTAAAGTACCGTGAATTACGCTCTTCTTGCCCGTTCGACGTGCTATGTAGGGGCGGAGCATTTACAATCGCGATGTCAAAGTTATTTGACAACATTGATCTAATGGTCTCTGAATTTAGAGACCCTTCGTTGTCACTGTAAACCGTCTTTGTTTTCGGGAAGACGTTCAGCAGTTGTAGCAGTGGAGCCTTTATGTCGACGATCGCACGTGAATGAATGGGTTGGACGATTGCAAATTTAGAAATATTGTCAATGCAAGTCAAAAAGTATTTCTGGTCAGTGGAATAAATGTCAACGTGTAAAATTTCTCCGGCATATGACGGTATTGGGGTCTTCCCTATTTCTTGTTTAAATGGGTGACGATTGTGTTTGTTCATCGTGCACACCCGACAGTTTGCCGCTATTTCTGTTGTAAGACGACCAATTTTTGGGAAAAAATAGTCTCGAAGTATTTGTTGCGCGTTCTCTTGCGCCGCGCGGTGAGCTCGATTATGCTCAGCTATAGCAATTTCCCTTTGTTCTGTTGTGTCTGAGATGTCTATGACCATACTTTTGGAGTGTCGAAAAGTAGTAAAGGCTAGGATAGGAAGTTCACAATGAATTGCATTGGTCGCTTCGGGGTTTACAACTTCTCGTAGAGTCTGTGTAAGTGTGTTGCGATCGGAAAACTGTATGACATGTCGGGTCTTTGTTTTAAATAAAATATATGTCTTTTGTTATGGGACAGTGCTTTCTTCCAGTATAATATGGTTACAGTATAATATGTGTAAGTCAAAGACTCTTCACTGTGGATTGTAGCGGCATCGGATTCTGCCGAATCTTCCAGAGCGTTGATATTTAGGCGAGACAGAGCGTCTGCCACAAGGTTTTCTTTGCCTGGCTTATAAATGATGTTTGCATTGTGCTCATCAATAAAAGCCTTCCAGCGCTTTATCTTGGCAATCGGATTTTTATCTGAAACCGCGAATGTTAGCGGCTGGTGGTCTGTGTAGATGTTGAGGTTTTTGACACCGTACAAGTAATTTCTGAGCGTTTTCAGTGCCCACACAATGGCTAAGAGTTCTCTCTCATTTGTGGCGAAGTTAATCTCGTTGTCCCGCAATGTGCGCGAGATCATGGTTATAGGGCGTCCGCCCTGAGATAGCACAGCACCGAGCCCTTGGCCTGACGCGTCTGTTGTCAAGTCGAATGGTTTTTTAAAGTCGGGATATGCTAAGCGCACATCCTCGGAAGCTAACAGCTCTTTTAACTTATGAAAGGTGTCTAACTGTGCTTGATTTAATTCAATTTTTACCCTCCTCGACTGGTTAGAGCTTATCTTGCCACTTTCGCCTTTCAAGTCTTCCGTTAGGCGTCTTGCAATGCTGGCGAATCCTGCTATGAAGCATCTGTAATAGCTTGCTATTCCTAAAAATGATCGAAGATTGAATAAACTATTTGGCGGTTGAAAGTCTTTTATGGCTCTTACTTTGTCGGCCGATGTTTGGGTAACGCCTCTGCATACTGTGAATCCCAAGTATTCCATGCTCTTTTTGAAGAACTTGCATTTCTCTTGAGAAACTCTCATGCTAGCATCCCTAAGGTTTTTCAAGATCCATTCAATATGTTTGATATGGTCTTCCTTATTGGGTGAGAAAATTATTATGTCATCTACATAGACGTAGCATGTTTTCCTAATTTGGTCCCTGAGGACATCGTCTATTGCCCTCTGGAATATACTAGGGGCGTTCTTTAGCCCAAATGGAAGTCTACAGAACTCGTATTTTCCATTGTTTACAGAGAATGCAGCCTTTTCTCTGTCCCTTTCCGCTAATTCTATCTGGTGGAAGCCCGATTTGAGGTCTAGTGTTGTGAAATACTGAGCATCACCCATATTCAATAATATGTTGGAAATAGTTGGGATAGGGTATTTGTCGTCGGTTGTCTTTTGATTTAGTTTCCTAAAATCAATCAACAGACGTTTCTTTTTATGACCTGCCTCGTCGACACCTTTTTTGTCGACTACCCATATTGGATTGTTGTTGGGTAACTTGGATGGTCTAATTATGCCATTCGCCAGAAGTTGTTTAACCTCTGCGTTGACAAATTCAGACACACCCATTGGGTATGGGTATAATTTAGAATATACTGGTTTGCCGTCCGTTCGGATTGTCTGATCGCGGCGGGAATATCCGCGTCATCTATTTGGAAGTGATTCACTTGTTGGCATGCCGTAAACTCTATTTTTTCCATTCCCTGGTCATATTTAATAATATTGCTGTTTAAGACTATTTGGGCGTTGACTTTTTTTAACAAGTCGAGGCCGATTATACCATCGAAGTCTCGTAATGAGTTTAGCATAAAGAAATATGATTTTGTATTGAAAAGATAAATGGGACATTTCTGTTCAATTGTTGTGTGCCCGTGGATCGATTTGACCTGAAATGGGCTATCGACTGACCTCCAATGTGCTAGTTCGGGAAGGGGTTTTATGTAATTCTTAGATGCTCCTGTGTCTATCAGAAGCCTTATTTCCCGCCATGCAACCGTGCGTATTACAAACGGTAGCAGGGGCTTTCCACTAAAAAATTGCAACTCTCTGCACTTGACAGGTCGTCTTCGACCTCCTCTACTTCATGTTGTGAGCATGACTCATAACTACCTTCGCTACTTTCTTCTTGGGGTAAGTGGTTAATGTTTTGCTGGGTCCTCATGGACTGATCCCCATAGTTTGCTGTTGGAAGATCTTGGGGCTGTGCTGGGAAGACAGCCCATCTTAATGACTTTCTTAGTCCCGAGACAAAAGTGTGGAGAGCATCGCTCCTGAATTTTGCATTTAAAGCAGCCGCTGCGGCTGGATCATGAGTCATTAAAGTTTTATTTGTCAGGAGTGTGAGTTTTTTCTCCACTTCGTCATAATATTTCAAGAAGGAAAGGTCAGTCTGCCTTAGTGTGCTTAATTGCTGTTGGATCACGTGCACTGGCGTTTTGTCAGCGAATGTGAAATCCAATCTGGCAATTATTGCTCTGAAATTAAGTACTGTGTTGAATGAAGCCAGTACTGCGTCCGCTGAGCCCCTTAATTTGTTACGTATTATAGCAACTGCCTGATAATGTCTAGAGCTGCCATCATAAGACTCGAATACCCTGTAGGCAGCGCTGGCGGCCAGTCTCCATGAAACGTAGCCCTCCTGCTTCCCGTCAAATTCCGGAATTGACTTTACATTACATTTTACTATTTGTATTTCCGTATAAGTTTTAATTTGCGGGGCTGTTCCCTTAAGTTCATTTAACTGTCCTGTTAGACCGGCTAGCTTTTGTTCAAAATTCTGTGTTTGCTGTTCAAGGGCTTGCCGCATCTGCGCTGCCAATTCTGTTATTTGTTTGTCGGACATTTTATTGTTTTTTCTATATTCTATATAAGAGGTAATGAGCTCTTCCTCGCTGCTGCAATCTGAACTACATAAGCTTTGAATTCAAAATTGAAATCGAAATAATTAATTGACGACAGAATTAAAAAAAAAATTCTAGCGGTGTAACAGAATACTCAAAAATTATATTTTTTATGTAAAGAGAAAAATATTTCACACACTTATCTTGACCAGCTATCATCAAAATCTTGTAATAGTTTTATTTATTATTATTTTGCTTGTTATTATTATTTTGCTTGTTTGCTTTTGGTACACAATAAAAGTTAGCACTCTTAATTTAGTAGAGAGTAGCTGTAAGAGTCGTAAACCTATTAGAGGTTCTAAAATACAATTTTTACTGTATTTGTTTCAGGTGAGGAAACTGCCAAGAAGGTTAGTTCGATTAATTATTACGCATATCGTTTGATGATTCGTGAAAATTCTGACAATTATTATTATTTGTTCTTGCACCTGACCAAAAAACGAAGAATGTCGTTTACCACAAGGTGCTTGAATGAAAATCCGATTAATAAATTAATCAGAGTGTATCCCAACCTGAACAACATAGCTTTCAACAATTATTTACCTAGAAAGTATGGATAGGGCAATGCAACGTTTCCCGGGCCAGCTAGTTATTTTATATTTTGATAAATGAGTTTTCTATTTAATTTATATTTTTAAATACACCGAAATTGAAATTTTAACCATACTAAATGCGCATTTTTATTAGTTTGGTTCAGGGTAGTATCTAGTAGAGCACTCTCGACTAGAGTTTTCTTACTTTTTTATATTCGTTTATTAACAACTTTACTTATATAATACAATATGTGTTTAGGTGGCTAAGGGTAGCGCACGATGATTGCGGGACGGCCGTAAAGTATTGCTTCGCAAGCACTTTGCACTCCCTTAGCTTGGGACAGCTCGTCTTCGTTCGATTCTGCGAAGCTCCATCATGATTGTGGTCGCGAAGGTGCTTATAAGTTTCCAAGCTGCCTCGGATTCCAGCATAACGTTGACCATGTTGTCCGTTCTAAGGAAGCGGTCCACTGCTTCTTCCAGATAACGCCTCTTCTCTAGGAAGCGTCCACATTCGAATAAGACGTGGTTGGCGTCCTCCACCAGACCTCGTCCGCACCAAGAGCATTCGCCGGTTTCTTCGTGGCCAAAGCGCTTCAAGAAGCGAAAGAATCTGTGAAAGATAAAAGTTAACCTCGCCGTGTTTGCGGTATACCTATGGCTCGAGCTGCGGGATGAGAGTATGTGTCCACCGCCCTTTAGTTGAGCTGCTCCACCTTCTTTGCCATCGTGCAATTCTGTTCGCTCTGATATCGTTGCGTCGTAGAGGCTCGTGTGCATTCCGTTCCACGGCTTCATCGACTAAGTCCTCCAGAGGCACCATGCCGGCTATGACGAGCGCCGTGTCGTCAGAGACTGTTCTGAACGCGCAGCAGACTCTGAATGCGCACAGTCTGTAGGTGGCGCAAATGCCCCGGCTGTAGCTCGGCGTTGCCATCGCTCTTGCCCATATTGGCGCATCATAGAGGATGAAAGACCTAATGGCGCTCATTAGAAGAAGCATAATTCTTGAGAGAGCTCTACAAGAATCAGCTTCCTTTTTATGCATATTTTCTACATTTTCACATTTTTGCGAAGGCTTACTAGGACGACTTCCGTTTTGTGCGCCGCTAGTTCGAGTCCGGCTCCTGTCAACCAGTTTCGTATGTGATTGATACTTTCGTTGCACATATCCTCCGTATCTTTAAGCTCCTTGCCTATGGCAACGACAGCCACATCATCAGCAAAGCCAATGGTGTGCACACTTGCTGGTAGTTCCAAGCGCAGTACGCCGTCGTACATGACTTTGTATAGGAGAGGCTCCAGCACTGAGCCTTGGGGTACTCCAGCTGACACTGTATGAGTTTGGGGACCCTCACTCGTGTTGTATACCAGTGTTCTTCCTCTTAAGTAACTCTTTATTATCTCTTTTAAATATTTAGGGATATTATATTGCGATAGCGCTTCCAGTATCATATCTAGCTAGCTGTGTTAAAGGCATTCTTTACATCCAGGGTCGCGATAATGCAGTATTGTTTCGTCCCGTGCCTACATCTGGTGCCTTGGATGGCGGAAGTTGTCAGGCCAACAACTTTTTTTAGCGCATCAATTGTTGACCGGGCCTTCCGGAAACCAAATTAATTAGGTGACAGGCTTCCGACGCTAGCAATAAGTCTTCAGTCTAGAGCCAATCAGTTTCTCAAATACCTTTCCCATGGTGTCCAAGAGACAGATGGCTCCTCTGGTGGTTTGCCAGCCTTGGGTAGCAATACCAAGTTCTAGGTTTTCCAGGCTGCAAGGAACGTCTCCTGAATTAAACATTCGTTGTATAATTCGGCAAACGTAATAGGGTGCAATGCGAGGGATAGCTTTAGCGCACGATTTTGGATCCCGTCAGGCCCTGGAGCTGTGTTAGATCTAAGACCTCTGAGAGCAACTAAAATTTCTCCATCTGTAACTAAAACAATTTTAGTGCTCGTTTAGCCCTGATCAGCAGACTTGGACTCAGGGGCGTTTCCACAATCGATTTAAGCTCCAAGCGATCCGTAGGCTGCACCTGTGCAGCGTATAGTCTTTTAACTACTATCTTGTATGCTCTGCCCCAAGGGTCATATTCGGCTGAGTCACACAACTCTAAGCAGCATTCTCTTTTGCTTGCCCGAATGGCCTTCTTCAACTGTCTTCTAGCTGCCTGGTAAGCTAATTGTTTCTCAAGAAACGTAGACCTACCGCGAGCCCGTTGGTAGCTTCTTCTCGCCTGGATGCATTTGCGACGAATGTCACCTATTTGTACATTCCACCAATACGTAGGCTCTTGTTGTAGCGTGAACTGCTTGCGACATGACATGCTCCTATTGCTGGCACTCTGAATTTGGGCCACCATTTGGCATGCTCTGGCCTCAGCATTACCAATTGTAACCAGAGACTGAATGGCCTCTGAAAAAGCCGCGGGATCAAAAGTATCCAGCCGATACGATTCCCACCACAAGGTTGGCGCCCTGGCAGGTTTCTCACCTATTGTGAACAGGAGTGCCGTATGATCGCTGCCCGTATAGCTATCGCAATGACTCCATGTTGCTTCCCGAACGAGGGATGAAGTGACAAAACTAATGTCAATAACAGATAACACGTATGCGTGTGTGTGCGAGTGTGCGCGTTTCTTGTGTTAGCAGAAAGACACGAAAAATGATTGAAATAGCTATAGCTCGAAGGGTTCAGGGGATCTCGTAGTTGAGCAGTCTCGACTAGAGCTTTCTTACTTGTTATTAATAGTAATACGGAATATGCACTCGCACAAAACCACATAAAACAATCGAGACATAGATAACAGCTTATCAAGAAAAATCATAGAAAATCTATGAAAAGACACTTACACTTTGGTTAACCTGTAGAATAAAATTTGTTTACATGAGAGCATAACCGAAAACTGTCATTGTTATCAAACCTACTGAGTAAATTCTCAATTACAATACAAAGATCCTCAATAGCAATAGGGAAAATAACGAATTTTTCTAGTATTCGTCAATTTTTCAGTATTTTTAACCCATTTTCAATGGGAAATCAGGGTATAATGGTTTTGTGAAAAAGTATGTAACAGGCAGAAGGAATCATCGCCGACCCCATAAAGTATATATATTCTTGAATTGAGTTACTGAGTTTTTCAATCACAGATTCAATTTCATCCCCTGACTTTACTGATAGGTCTAGACTAGTTCGTTCTTCAAGCCAGTTCTTAAATGCATTTATGTTTGTTTTTGCAAAGCTTCGACGGATATATGTCCGCCCATAGGGGGCGTGGCAAGCCGCTAGAAGCTTCTAATTTTGATAGTTGAGTTGTAACCTCCTCTATCGATGACCCAAAATAATTTTTACTCCTCTTTAGGGGCGTGGCAAATCGAAAAATATCCTGTAATTTTCACAATTTTGGAGTGTAAGCATTCAAATTTTGTAGTTAGGGTACCGTTAGCTCGTTCTAAAAACTGACTAAAAATGAGATGTCTACGCCCAGTAAGGGCATGGCAAATCGAGAGAAACTGCATTTTATACAGTATTAGAGCTAAACTTAGCTGCTAAATTGCTGATGGGATGTGAATGAGCATTCCGCAGTCGGTAACGCCCGACTGCAACGTTCTTACTTGTTATACTCTGAGCCCATTGAAAATGGGAAATCAGGGTATAATGGTTTTGTGAAATGTATGTAAAAACAAAAGAAGGCGTGGCACACCCCATAAAGTATATATATTCTTGATCAGGGCGACGAGCTGAGTCGATTTAGCTCTGTCCGTCTGTCCGTCCGTCCGTCCATCGATCTCAGAAGATATAAGAGCTAGAAACTTGAAATTTGTTTTGCTAGGTCTGTGTATACCACGCGCATATCGAGTTTTGGTTCAAATATCGATAACTTAGTCTGTTATTTTGTTATCGATTAAAAACATTATCGAACACCAGTAAGAAATTTATATCTCTTACATCTTTAAAGATAGTGTCACCAAATTTTTAATGTAGATTTATATTTTAGGTTCGGGCTACGAAAATATGGGAACACAAAATCAATTCTCTTCGTGGGATGCGATGCTCACAATTATGGGATATCACTTGTAGAAGCATTTGTATGCCTATGTGCCTTTACATTTGTGTGTGTGTATGTATGTGTTTGTATGCATAGGACATGAACATTGGAGTGTGCCTACCACAACTTAGAATTGTTTGTGAGAACGATTTTCGGTTCGAATTGCAGAATCGCGTTTATATTTAAGTACCTGATTAACTAAAGTGACAAGTGCACTTCCCAATACATTTTATAGGTATTTTTTACTTGCATGATTTTTATGACATATAAAGGGGCATCCATTTAAATGGGTCCATTTAACCAGTATATGTATGCTTATTTTTAAAAAGGTAAATTTTACCTGTATGTGTATTTATATACATATATGCACAGGTGTAAGGGATCGATAATTGCATCCTATTTTGCCCACTGGGATTAATCAGGTACTACATTTTGTTTAAAAACATTCATTCTGATAGGCATTGACATACAATCACGGTCTGTAGTGTGCGTGTGCACGTTCGTCGCGAAAACATTTTCTTTAGGCGCACCAACGCTTTCATACCTTTCCTACATATAACGAAAACGCAAACTTTTAGCACGAGCATAGCAAACGCTTTAAAGAGTTCGGTATACTCTTCATACAGAAGGGAAGACATGGGTTCTTGCTGCAAAGAAATTTCAATTTTTGTGAGCTGCTGCTTGTGCTCACATTAATACATACATATACACATTCGAGAGAGAAGAGAGCATCGAGAGAGAGAGAGCAAGGGAAACATTGAGCATAGAGGGATCTTTTGTTCAACATTTGACCATCTCGGTCGAGCGCATGAAGCGAACTGATTTTGCGTTCGTATTTTTTCGTAGCTCGAACCTAAAAGTAAGGAGCCGAGCGAATCCAAAGCTGGGTGGGGTGTTAAAGCCTCAGAAAAAGCGTGCAAAAAGCTTTCCACTGGTTGTCTAGTCTATGTGTTCTCTGGTTAGTGATGATATCTCCTAAACTTTTAGAGCTACAGTCGCCAAATTTTAAAGGCTTTGTTATAATTTACCCCTCACCACAATATACACCTCCTCGCTCCCATATATGTAAGAGGCTTATTTGAAATACTATAGAAATGTGCATTAGCAAATTCATATAGACCATCGATAGACCACCGACAATAAAAGTTATTAAAAAACAAGTAAGAAAGCTCTAGTCGAGACTACTCGACTACGAGATCCCCTGAACCCTTGGAGTAATAGCTATTTCAATAATTTTTCGCGTCTTTCAGCTTACACAAGAAACACGCACACACACACACACACGCACGCACACACAGGCATACATACACACATACACACACATTGCGATAGCTATACAGGCAGCGATCATACGGCACTTCTGTTCACAATAGGTGAGCCACCTGCCAGGGCGTCAACATTGTGGAGGGAGTCGTATCGGCTAGATACTTTTGATCCCGCGGTCTTTTCAGAGGCCATTCAGTCTCTGGGTACAATTGGTAATGCTGAGGCCAGAGCATGCCAAATGGTAGCCCAAATACAGAGTGCCTGCAATAGCAGCATGTTACGCCGCAAGCAGTTCACGCGACAACATGAGCCTACGTATTGGTGGAATACGCAAATAGGTGACATTCGTCGCAAATGCATCCAGGCGAGAAGAAGCTACCAACGGGCTCGCGGTAGGCCAACGTTTCTTGAGAAACAGTTAGCTTACCAGGCAGCTAGAAGACAGCTGAAGAAGGCCATTCGGGCAAGCAAAAGAGAATGTTTTTTTACAGTTGTGCGACTCAGCCGAATATGACCCTTGGGGCAGGGCATATAAGATAGTAGTTAAAAGACTATACGCAGGTAGACAGGTGCAGCCTACGGATCGTCTGGAGCTTAAATCGATTGTGGAAACACTCTTTCCAGAAAGTTTAAGCTCCATTCACGCCCCTGAGTCCGAGTCTGCTGATCAGGGCTCAACGAGCACTGAAATTGCTGAAATTGTTTTAGTTACAGAGGAAGAAATATCAGTAGTTCTCCGAGGTCTTAGAACCAACACAGCTCCGGGGCCGGACGGGATCCCAAATCGTGCGCTAAAGCTAGCCCTCGCCTTGCACCCAAGTACGTTCGCCGAATTATTTAACGAATGCCTGATCCAAGAGACGTTCCCGGCAAAATGGAAAGCCCAGAATCTGGTATTGCTACCCAAGGCTGGCAAACCACCAGATGAGCCATCTTCGTACAGACCGATCTGTCTCTTAGACACCATGGGAAAGGTGTTTGAGAAACTGATCTGCTCTAGGCTGGAGACTGCGATTGCAAGCGCCGGAGGCCTGTCACCAAACCAATTTGGATTCCGGAAGGCCCGGTCAACAACGGACGCGCTTAACAGAGTTGTTGGTCTGGCCACTTCCGCTATTCAAGGCACCAGATGGAGGCACGGGACGAAGGAATACTGTATCATCGCGACCCTGGATGTAAGGAATGCCTTCAACACAGCTAGTTGGGATATGATACTGAATGCGCTGTCACAATATAATATCCCTAAATATCTAAGAGAGATAATAAAGAGCTACTTCAGAGGAAGAACACTGGTATACAACACGAGTGAGGGTCCCCAAACTCATACAGTGTCAGCTGGAGTACCCCAAGGCTCAGTGCTGGGGCCTCTCCTATGGAACATCATGTACGACGGCGTACTGCGCTTGGAACTACCAGCAGGCGCGCACACCATTGGCTTTGCTGATGATGTAGCAGTCGTAGCCATAGGAAAGGAGCTCAAAGATACAGAGGATATGTGCAGCGAAAGTATCAATCGCATACGAAGCTGGTTGACAGGAGCTGGGCTCGAGCTAGCGGCACACAAGACCGAAGTGGTACTAGTCAGCAGTCGCAAAAGAGTGGAAACTGCCAATGTAAAGATCGGCAGCGTCACCATTGCGTCAAAGAGGGCGATAAGATATCTTGGTGTCATGATAGACACAAGATTAACTTTCCGCGAGCACTTAGAATATGTGCATAAAAAGGCAGCTGATTCTTGTAGAGCTCTCTCGAGAATCATGCTTAACACGCGGGGACCTAAACAGCAACGACGTCTCCTCCTAATGAGCGTCATTAGGTCTGTCATCCTCTATGCTGCGCCAATATGGGCAAGAGCGATGGCAACGCCGAGCTACAGCCGAGGCATTTGCGCGATCTACAGGCTGAGCGCAATCAGAGTCAGCTGCGCTTTCAGGACTATCTCCGATGACGCGGCGCTCGTCATAGCCGGTATGGTGCCACTGGAGTATTTGGTCGCCGAAGCCGTGGAGCGGAATTCGCACGGGCCTACGCGACTCAACGCTGTCAGGGCGAACAGCATCGCACGATGGCAAAGAAGGTGGAATAGCTCAGCTAAAGGGCGGTGGACGCACAAGCTCATCCCGGAGCTTGAACCATGGGTTAACCGCAAACATGGCGAGGTTAACTTCTACCTTACGCAGATCCTCTCGGGTCATGGATGCTTTCGGAGCTATTTGAAGCGCTTTGGCCACGAGGAATCTGACGAGTGCCCCTGGTGCGAGCGAGGGCATGTGGAAGACGCCAACCACATTCTTTTCGAATGTGGACGGTTCCTGGAGGAGAGGCGTCGTCTGGAAGAGGCAGTGGGCCGCTCCATCAGAGCGGACAACTTAGTCAACGCCATGCTGGAATCGGAGGAAGCTTGGGAACTAACAAGCACCTTCGCGGCCACAGTGATGATGGAGCTCCGCAGAGTCGAGCGACTGAGAAGACGAGCTGTCCCAGGCTAAGGTAGCGCATAGTGCTTGCGAAGCAATGCTTTACGGCCGTCCCGCAAGCACCGCGCGCTATCCTAGCCACCACACAACTTGCAATTTTTATTTTGTCAATAAATGAATATAAAAAAAAAAAAAAAAAAAAAAAAAAAAACACACACACACACACACACACACACACACATACACAAACAATTACATACATATACACACACAAGCATAAACACGCATGGGCGGCAGTGAGCGCTTACTATGAGAACTTAATTGCTTATTAACTTTTGTGGACGTACGATCTTCATGAAACTTTCAGATTATGATTATGACATGGATATGCATGTAATTGCCAAAGCACAAGTCTCTAGTATTTGAAATACGCTTTTTACAAAAGTGAGGGTGAGGGGGTGAATTTAAGGGTGGGGGTAAATTTTAACAAAAACCGAAATTGTATAAATTGCATATAAGCATACATTAAAAATTTGGAGACTCTAGCAATAAAGGTGTAGAAGATATAATTTTATAACTGGTTTTCAGGTTTTTTATCAATAAACAAGTAAGAAGACTCTAGTCGAGACTGCTCGACTAGGATATACCCTGAACCCTCTAATCTGATATTCTAATCAGTCTGCACTTCTTTTCGGCACACATACATACACACGCACGTAGTAGAACGCGCTCTGCTAACTGCGCAGTAAGCAGCGACTGCGCTTGGGCTGCGCTGCAGTGTGGGCAACATTATAAGAATTTATTTGTTGAATAATATAATTTCTAGACGTACAATCTTAATGAAACTTTCAAAGCGTAATCATATGGTAAAAATGTGTGCACATTCTAAAACACACGTCTCTATTACTTGAAATACGCCTTTTACAAAGGTGAGGGTGAGGGGGTAAATATAGGGGTGGGGGGTAAATTACAACAAAAATCGAAATTATAAAAAATACATATAAGTCTACATATAAAATTTGGAAGCTCTAGCTTTAAAGGTGTAGGAGATATAATTAAATAACTAGCTTTCGATAAGGTTTTTAATCGATAATAAAATATCGGGAGTAGTTATCGATATAGAAAGAAAAACTTGATATGCGCGTGATATACACGGACCTAGGAAAAACAATTTCAAGTCTCTAGCTCTTATATCTTCTGAGATCGACGTTTTTACAAAGGTGAGGGTGAGGGGGTAGAAATAGGAGTGGGGGTTAAATTCTAACAAAAATCGAAATTGTATAAAATATATATAAGTCTACATTTAAAATTTGGAAGCTCTAGCTCTAAAGGTGTAGGAGATATAATTAAATAACTAGCTTCCGATAAGGTTTTTAATCGATCATAAAATATCGAGAGTAGTTATCGATATTTAGAGAAAAACTTGATATGTGCGTGATATACACGGACCTAGGAAAAAAAATTTCAAGTCTCTAGCTCTTATACCTTCTGAGATCGACGCGTTCATACATACGGACGGACGGACGGACGGACAGACGGACAGGACCAAATCGACTCAGCTCGTCGCCCTGATCAAGAATATATATAGTTTGTGGGGTCTGCCACGCCTCCTTCTGCCTGTTACATACTTTTAACAAAACCATTATACCCTGATTTTCAATGGGTTCAGGGTATAATTAAGTTCCCATAGTGAGCATTGCAGCTGATGCTTGGCAGTGTGTGTGTGTGAGTTTCTCTTATAAGCAGAAAAGAAACTAATAGTTATTGAAATACCAGTTGCTCGAAGAGTTCGACCTCGTAGTCGAGCAGTCTTGACTATAGCTTTTTTACTTTTTCTAAATGAATGAAAATGATAACTCTTTAATGTACAGAAATAATTAAGTAAACAAATATTTTTGCAAAGGATTTATTTTCAATTTTTGTGAAGTTTTCCACAAGGCTTTAAGGATTGAATTTATTTAAACATTCTCTGTTGATCTCTGTTGCAAATGTTGAGATGCTATTTTAGCGCTTTAAGCTAAATTGTATATAAAATACCTACAAGGTGAGTTGTTTTTAATTGAGATAACATTGCTTCTACGTTTTTGTTTTGGGCTATAAATATATTTATGCATTATATTTATATTTGATATGTTTTTATTAAAATTGAATCCAAATATAGGACAAATATGACATTATTAACACACATTATAGAAATAAAAACGAACAAATAATAAGACTTACTTAATATTAATTAATAATATGTTGCTTTGATTTTGGTTTAATAGGACTAATAATCTAAACAGGCTCTAGTTGAAAGTAGTCGATTAACATAATCCCTGTACCCACTTTCGAAATAATGAAAATTATACATTTGTACTTACTTAAAGCGAATTATTCATATTGAGCCCTGATTCAGAAAAACGCTCCAAAAAAGGAAGTCTGTCATTGAATATAAGAAAATACTCAGCAGACAATAAAAGAAAATTATTTATTTTATGTTTTCGGGTTGCAGTTCGAAAAGCGTTTAGGAAGTATTAAAATTTATTCACATTAAAGAGTTTGATTAGTTTTTTTCCTATTGCAATTTGAAGCTTACAAAAGTGGAATTGTGAAATTAAACATATAAAGAAATTAGTTTTGAGAATGGCTTCGTACATTTTTTTATACTTTATTTTAAATAATGTTCAAAATCTGAGTAAAAAATTTGAAGATGGGTACAGAGTTTAACAGCAAGTTTCGACAGAAAACGTTCATTGAAAATAACTAAAAATTTAAAAGTACAGTGAGGAACATAAAAATGGTAAAATTGTTTGTGACAGTTTTCTGTAGGCATTAAAATAATTAATTAGAACAATATTCTTTTACTCATAGCATCCTCACATTTGAGTTTACCGCATTATTTTTAATAATTGTAGTTATGGTAAATACGAATAGCGTGTTATGGTTATTTACTTATAGCAATAAAGCATATATATATATATATATATGTTTTTTTTTTTTTTTTTGCTGAGGTTTTTTTTAGACGGCGTTACTTTTTGGTATATACTTTCAGCATAAGTTCTTAAAATCATTCATTTAAAACAATATATATATATATTGCAACATTTTTCATATTGAATTTAAAGCATTTTTCACGGCTTTTAAATAAATCAGACGAAATTTTTTTTTTTTTGTGTACTCTGTTCACGAAGTAATAAATTGTGTTAACGCATCATCTTAATTCAACATTCTTAAAATACTTAATGCAGCCGTATATATAAATAAAATAAAATATTCTATTATTTTATGGCAGAAAAAGTCTTCTAGTTATTATTAGAATGTCCATATAAACTGCAATTAAATTCATTGCACCAGGGCTACTGTGAACAGAGCATTTATCAACCGGTTGCACCCGACCACAAGGTTCTTACATGTTCATTTTTTCCATATAAATAAAATATAATAATATCAATTAATTAGTTCCTTAGTATATTAAATTTTATACAAAAAATTATGTATTATTTTAGGTTGCTTATCACTTTTAATTTTTTGTTGCTTTATATTTACTGTTTTGAAGATTCAACTAATGTACTTTAAAATAATTAGGGTTGCTTTCTTGTTACATATAAATTAAATGTCCTGAATAACGACGAAATTTCTATTTATTTATGACCGAGATATTACGAGTATTTACCACATTTGAAGATTACTTAATAATTGTTTTTATTTAGTAAAGCGCTTGATAACTGATGTTGATTTTAGTTTAGCCTTATGAAAATCCCTTATAGTGTACAAAGAAAAATATGAGAAAAGTCGCATAGGCTGTTGGAAATGTTATTCTTGCAATGACATCAATCGTCTTAGCCACACGTATAGGATGTGGCGGCTCCTTTTTGCGCATCTGTACAAAACATGTCTTAGGACAAATAGTATTTGATTAATTATATTAGTTAACGTTTTTTATATAGTTAATGTATTATTTTTTACCTCTGTGGCGCATCCATTATTGACCGAATGGGTGCATGGGCTATTACTGCTGCCACATGTGGTGCATGCCACAATTTCATTTGGCGCGCCGGCATCGCGTCGCTTTTCACCCTGATATGCGGTATTGAAAGACACGAAAAATAGAGAACTTATTAAATTAAATACAAGAATATCAACGATTATTATGTATTTAACTGCCCAGTTTAAATATATAATATTAATGTAAAATCCATCCATAATATACGATAGCTCTGAAGTTTACAAAACGTAAAAAATCCACAGCTGCCAGTTAACTCTTAATCATTTAATATATATAATTATTAATAAATAAACTTAGTTTATTTATTATTTATAGTTTATAGTTTAGTTTATATATATTATTTATTTATATTTTTTTTTTATGTGTTCCTTATATTTCTCATACTTGCTTCCTTCCAGACATTAAGTAATTAATCATTACCTATATTATAATATATATAATATCAATATTTTCAATTAATTAATAATCGGACACCAAACAGACTAAAAAAAAAAAAATTGAAAAATGTATGTTGTACCATAACAAGATGGAAATGAATTCCACAGTCTATAAAAACAATGTTTTGGATGTGCTTGATTTTGGGTGTTTACATATTTATGAAACAAAAATGCATACTTACGGGCTGTTTTATTATTATATATTATAGTTTTACGAGCAGCATTGAATAAATTGGATCAATAATTAGCTAAAGATATATTGTTTGTTCATTTCATTTTAATTGTATTCTTATTAATTATTATTAATTTATTTAAGCCCTTGCAGATTTGTAATTTATTTCCAGAGTTTATGTAGGGGTGCATAGAAATGGTCTGGACGTTTAACTATATAAAATATATGTTTTATTTAAATTATTTTTTTTATATGAATTGCTTAGTTGAACGACGTACGACAAATGTAGATTGATCACTCTCAAAGTAAATTTAAAAATATCACAACAACAATGAACAAAAAGAAAAATTAAATAATAAAAAAAAGGCTTTCTTCTTTTCGCTGTTTAAAAAAATATTGACATTGGTACTGAGAAATAGGATTTTAGTCAATCAAGTCCACAAGGTCTTGAGTGCTCAAACACTATATGGTGAGCCGATTCATAACAATTCGAAATATTTTAGTCAGTAGCTTTAAGCTTTTTTTTCTTTTTCTACTCGACTGCGAACGTTAAATTGCTAAATTGGTTTTCTGCGATTTCCATCTCGCTGTCCATCCGTCTGTCCGTATATTACTAAAAATTTTGAGCATATAGCGTCGTAATAAATGACTTGACTTTATAAGATACGGCATACCCTGAAATTAAAAAGTATCAAGATTTTTACGATCCGCCCACATAGGGTGTATATTTTCAATATTACAAGGAAAATCAAACTTCTCTAGCTGTCAGATTTTCGATAATGTTTCTAGTTAATAGCATTAAAATAAAACAAGTAAGAAAGCTCTAGTCGAGACTGCCCAACTACGAGATCCCCTGAGCCCTTCGAGCAACAGATATTTCAAAAATTATTCGCATATGCACACATACACGCACACACACAGGCATACGTACGCACGCATAAACACGCATTGGCTGCAGTGTTAGCTTACTATGGGAAGTTAATTGTTTAATAACTTTTCTTGTGGCTAGACTATCTTCATGAGCCTTTCAGATTATGATCATAACATGATGACTTACATAATCAAGCTCTTGTGCAATTTTCCCACTGTAAATGGTTCATATGATTTTTGGGGTACACACTAAACAGAATATATGAGCATTTTCCAAAAGTTTACTTTTTGTAGTGAGCGAACTCCTTGCTTTTTATACTCATTCTCGAAAGTGAAATGAGTTTATTGGTTTTGTGCTATGTCCGTCTTGCTGTCCGTCCGTCCGTCCGTCTGTCCGTATGAACGCAATCTATTGAAGCTAGAGACTCGAAATTTGGAACACATAATGGTGTATATCTCCTATTTATAAAGTGTTAAAATTTTCCAGATCACGAGCTATGGCGGATATATCTCCGCCCATTGGGGGCGTGGCAAATCGGATAAAACTGTATCTCCTAAAGTTGTAAACCTAGAATGCTGAAATTTTGCACGTCAGCTAATGCAATGTTTCTATAAAGTCTAAAGACAAAATTATAAGTCTTCGCGTGGGGGCGTGGCAAACCGGACCTGAAGATATAGTGATTTTTTAAATTCTCCTATATTTTGAACACTATTGATGGCAGAGACTTCAAATTTTGTATATATACTCGGACTGATCACCCAAGACCAAAAAGTTTTGTCGGATAAATGTCCGTCCACAGGGGGCGTGGCAAACGTTTAAGAGCTAGAAGCTTCAAATTTGGATAGTTGAGTTACTGGTAGTCTCCTCTATCGATGCCCCAAAAATAATTTTTAAGCCTCTTTAGGGACGTGGCATATCGAAAAATACCCTGTAATTTTCACATTTTTTGAGGGTAAGCATTCAAACTTTGCAGTTAGGGTACCGTTATCTCTTTCTAAAAACTGACCAAAAATGAGGTGTCTACGCCCAGTTGGGGCGTGGCAAATCGGAAAAACCTGTATATTCTACAGTATTAGAGCGAAACTTAACTACTAAATTGTTGATGGGATGTGAATGAGTATTCCGCAGTCGGTACCGCCCGACTGCAACGTTCTTACTTGTTTTTAATATGATTCCGGACAAATATTCGACCAAATAACATCATCTATTGTCATATTTCTGCCGGTCCTTCTATTTAAAGCCAAAATGTGGGACGAAGTTATCAATCTCTTAACACAGTCCTTTTGGTAGAAATCAGAGTGAGTTGATGTACCATTCCATTAAGGAACTCAAAAATAACAAATAAAGGCTGAACACTTTATAATTAACTGTCTAAGAAAATTAAGATGTGAACTGTTACCAACCCGCTTTATGTTAATGTCCACTTTCATGTAGGTCTAAAAAGATTACTGAAGCTTCGTCAGTAATATAAATAGATCACAACTCTGCAAGGGTATTCAATCTTCGGTTCACCGATAATCATTTTTGTTTTTTTAAATTATAAGTATACATTTTTTTAAGTTTTAATTATGGTTTATCCTATATGGCATGAGAATTTTTTTTACTGGTTTATAAAGATTATGAATCGACTATACAATGTGTTTTTTTAAAATGATTTAATTTGGTGATTAAAATTGCTATTGGTCAAAATATTTCTTTAAGCATATTAAAAACGTGCTAAATAAAACTTACTAGTGCATAATGCAAGAATTAATAAACAGCCTCAAATTTAGATGCTCTCTTATCCATTAAAAAATGGTTGGTATTATTGTGCAAATTAATGTAATAGCCAAAAAGGACACAAAAGCGATCTGTAGATATATTTTTTTTACATATCAACTTTGTGAATTTTACATGTGCTAGGGTCATGTATCTGCTGATACATGATTGTATAAATTTGCATAACTAATTTAGATCCTGCCAGAAATATTATCCGCAAATTTTGTTATCGTCATCTACAAAATCTTGTCATTCTCCAATCGTTTGCCAATTGGCAATTGACAAAAAGTGGTTGCGTCCATATTCCTCCTTTTGTGTATTTACCCCTAGGCTTACAACTAAGAATCCGAAGATGGTCGTTTTTTCCAGGCTATACATTCTTCATGACATTCATAATACATGGACTATTATTTATTATGTACTATTTTTTATTATTTAGAAATCTAAAATTTGAAATTTTTACAAATGGTTTGTTCATACATATGTATTGCCAAGATACTCGTTATATGAAATAAAATAGCAAAAAGGCAAACTTTTGCATAATTAATAAGTTCTTACTAAATCTTTCTGGGCATAAAATGTGTTGAGAGAGTGGGAGTTCGCATAGACTCTATGTCTCATATCTCACTAAACCTAAAGCGGAATACAACAGTTAACCAAAGCATATAGGCGTCGAGTCACTCAAGTCTGTGAATGCATAGACTAATATTAATTTAACTTATACTAATATTGTATAACAAAATTACATTGCCCGTCGAATTTTCGTTATTTGTAGGAAGGGTATGAAAGCGTTGGTACGCATAAAGAAATTGTAAATGTAAAATTGTAACGGAAAATTTGCCGTTGGTCGGCCGTCTGTTCTGCATTGGCCTCTTTGCCATACATCTCAATATGCGCGTTGTGAATTCGGAGCCGTTTATTTGGCACTCAAGCAGCCGTCATGTATACATATCAATTGTCATACAAATCCCCATTATAAGTCTCATATTTGATAATTAGCATATTGATAGCTAAATCGTTTGCCAGAAAATATTCTGTAAATATAAGTTTACATAGATATCCAATACTTCAGCATGATGAGGATTCATTTTTATTATTATTAAATCTTCATTAAATGTTTATAGTAAATTTAATTTTAAATCTAAATATTCCAATATACAATACATGTATATAAGAGTAGTAATCAATCGCAAATAATCAGCTTGTAATCTAAATGTTTTTAATAATGTTGTAAGCCAATAACTACTTTTTTACTTTTATGTTATGCTAAAAGTACGCTAGAGACTTGATTTTTTTGTTTTAAATGACAGTATATATCTCGCGGAGTTTACCTTTAAAAAAAGATAAATCATCCCGTTATGTTTTTATCAATTGAAAATATTAAAGATTAATTTAGATGCCAGTATAGCCAATTGTGAATGATTTACCATTTTTTTTTTAATTTTTCAAATATTTAATAATATATGTAGATCATATGCTGAAAGTATCATTAAATTCCTTTAAGTCAATCGACGTTAATAAATACAAAATGTTTGGCCAATTAACAAACGCACGTGCAGCAGCCACAACAGTTTTCCTATGCGTGTGCATACGCATATTCAAACTTATTTTAGTACATTATTAGAATCACAAAGCAGTCAGTTTAGTTTAGATTTGCTAGATGGCGCTGCAGCACAGCGCAAAATATTTAATTTTCCCAATTGCTACTAGTAAAAGTGCGCAATATAATTTATTTTTGCACTACATATATACAAAAATATAAATATATTACACTTTGTAAGTAAATGAGTTTTTTTTTTTATTTTATTTATATTTTTAAATACATCGAAATTTTGAACCATACTAAATGTGCGTTTTTATTAGTTTGGTTCAGGGTAAAATCTAGTCCGGAACTCTCGACTAGAGTTTTTTTTACTTGTTTGTATCTGGGTTTATTGGTAGATAAAATTGCTTGTCTTATTCATATGGAATTCTTTTTTAACAAATTTGTGTTTTACAATAAATCTTTCCTTATATTTACTACCTATATTTATATTAGTATTGAAAAAGTATATAAAACGTTCACTTATTAATTCTCAGTATAAACTTGTTTGCAGGCAACAAAGAAGAAATTTGTAAAGGGCACTTGAAAATGTTTCGGTTTGACAACTTGCAATTACTCACATTTTCCACTGGAGCTTCAGCTTTAGCTGCAGCTGTCTTTATCCTGTTATTCATATCTGATTCCATATCCGTCACATATATGCTGTTTGGAGAATTAGAGCGCGAAGATTTCTTACGCGGCGGTTTTAGTGGCATGTTTAATTGACGTCTGTTGTCCACCGGTTGTTCCACCAGTTTTTCCTCGTTATCTTCTAATTTTTCTTGGTCGATGCGTACAACTAATGCTGGTGTGCTAGTTGCGATGGAGCGGCGCAACATGGGAGATAATTCTTTTTCCTGAATATCTTCAAGCTTAATACTTGTCACAATTACATTCGTTCTGTTTTTATCTGTTTCTGGCTCATGGTAGACATTTTCAGTTGACAACGTAGATACGGAAGACAATGTCGCCGCTAATTTTGAAGAAGCGGCCGTTGTGATCTGATGACCACTTTTATGTTTAATAGAACGTGCTCGCAAATTCTGAACTGCTGCACCAATGATTCCACCATGTGCATCCTGCCACCTCATACCACTTAGAAATTCAGTCTCTGTTTCCCTTAGACCGGTACCCGCTATAAATTTAGAGGCGGCTACGTTCATTGGGAGTGGTGCATTGATCATCTCCGATGTGCCGATCGCGCTTGCCTTTTCGTTAAAAGACGATAAAGCAGCGTCAAATTGTCTTTTCATTATTTCCTATATTTTAATATTTTGATTGGAGAGTAGGGTGCTACAATTGATTTGAAAGTTGAACGCGCACATTGAGAGAGGAAATTTTGATGTTGAGATTGGAGAGAAAGTTGGAGAATGATTTTAGTTGGGGATTGCTTGCAACATATACGATTTCTCAGTTAGTTAAATTAGTAAACATTCAGGTTCACAATGTCTGAATTCAGCACAGGAAATAGTTACAAGAAGAAATCAATTTTTGGATATATATTATATCATATCAATAATCTGCTTACAAGTAATCAAAACTCATCTGTCACTTTAAGTTTAACAAAATAATACCTATAAACTTATCAACTAAAATTATTGATATAGAACCTACTAATAAACTAGGTTGGTACATTCGTATCTAAGTCAAACTTCCCTTTTAATATTTTTTGTGGCGATATGTAGGAATAAATGTAATTACATATTTTTACAAAATTTCAAGATACTCATAACCAAGTATAAAGAAGTGCATGTGAAAATTTTCATGCCTGAGTGTTTAATTTAATTTTTTCATTATGTATAATAATATATACAAGTGTTTTATTTGAATTAGGGTGTTTAGCAAAGCAAAAACTTTTTATGCATCTAACTCTTTAATACGTTACAAACAAACGTGTAAAAAATTTTTAGTTGGATATCTAATATCTACTTATATTTTTAGAATGTGTTGGACTACAGTCACGTGGAATAAGAAATAAAAGATGTTCAATTTCCAGTGAATACATTTTTTGATTAAAATGAAAATTATTTTCTATCGTGCTAAGTTCACATACTTTAGATTATGATTTACAAATTTGTGTAATGCTAACAACAGTATTTCTTTATTAGAAAAGTTTAATTAAATGCATATTATCAGGTTTTCGAATTTGGCATACTAAGTAAACACATATAAAACAAGAAAAATATATTTAAAAAATTGTAAAAAATAATCAAATTAATTTTCAATAATGATTTTATTGTTCATTAAAATCTTTACTTAAGGTTTCTCAGTAGTATCATACGGAAAATTAACATATTTTCAAAAGTGCATTCTATTACATCTTTTTAACATTTTTCCCAATTGTGAGTGACCTTAAAGTGTGTTTCTTTTCTTATTTTATTTCTTCAAATTACTTTTTAATCTAGTCTTGTTGGTTGCAATTTCTTGTGATTGTTGCGGCTTTCGTAGTTCTTTTTATGATTATTATTATTTTCGTGGTATTTTACGACAGAATTAATTGGTTTTTTTTTGTGGTAAAAAACTTAAAAAGAGGAAAAAAAATCGAATGGAAAATTTGAAGAAAAACATATACGCCATATTTGAAAAATAAGGTTTGTAATGCATGCTCCTACATAATAATAATGTAGTTTGATTATGTTTTAATAATTGAGTTGCGCTTAAAATAAATATCCCGAGCCATTTATTTGTATGTTCTATAATTTAAGTAATTCATTTATTAAGAAAGCAAAATTCACATGCCATATGTAAATGTACTTGTAAACGTAAATATAAATGTAAATGTAAATGTAAATGTAAATGTAAATGTAAATGTAAATGTAAATGTAAATGTAAATGTAAATGTAAATGTAAATGTAAATGTAAATGTAAATGTAAATGTAAATGTAAATGTAAATGTAAATGTAAATGTAAATGTAAATGTAAATGTAAATGTAAATGTAAATGTAAATGTAAATGTAAATGTAAATGTAAATGTAAATGTAAATGTAAATGTAAATGTAAATGTAAATGTAAATGTAAATGTAAATGTAAATGTAAATGTAAATGTAAATGTAAATGTAAATGTAAATGTAAATGTAAATGTAAATGTAAATGTAAATGTAAATGTAAATGTAAATGTAAATGTAAATGTAAATGTAAATGTAAATGTAAATGTAAATGTAAATGTAAATGTAAATGTAAATGTAAATGTAAATGTAAATGTAAATGTAAATGTAAATGTAAATGTAAATGTAAATGTAAATGTAAAAATGTAAATGTAAATGTAAATGTAAATGTAAATGTAAATGTAAATGTAAATGTAAATGTAAATGTAAATGTAAATGTAAATGTAAATGTAAATGTAAATTTAAATTTAAATTTAAATTTAAATTTAAATTTAAATTTAAATTTAAATTTAAATTTAAATGTAAATGTAAATGTAAATGTATGTCATAGTCAATGAAAATTTCAAAGTTGATGTCAATAGCAATGTCAATTTCAATGTTAAAGTTAATGATTTAATTAACTTTAATGTATTCAGTGTATTTGCTTATCAGCAAATTGATTGGTGATCAAAAGCTTACCAAAGGACTTGCAAGAATTACTCCGATCCTGCTTAGTACTGCTGGAAGTCGCTGTAAAAATTTACACAAAATAATTCATACTCAAAACACACTTTAAGTTTAATTGTGGTTCATTTCAGTTTAAATTGCTTTGACTTTGTTGATGTACATATTTTATACAGATTAGTGGCTGTTATTTAAGCAATAATTTTTTTTTAATGCTTAAGTATCTGTCTCAAATAAATATAATATATTTAATATTTTTTACAGCACTTAAATTGGGAACAATGTTTCATTTTTATTTGGAATAAAATATTTATAAAAGCTATTTCGATGATTAATTAAATTTAATTTCATGAAAATTATGAAAATAATTTTATTTCAAAACTTTAAAATAATAAGCGTAATGCTTTAATGGTTAAAAAAAAAATCAACTGAACATTTAACAAATATTGATCGTAATTCAACATGTCAAAAACAATTTTTAGTGTAATACATAGTATATGCGATGGATATCTTTGTGTTCATATAAACATTCATATATATATTGGTATACTCGAACAAAAGAAATAAGCCACTTTAATTTATATACGCTATCAATATTTGTTGAATTTTAATGCAGTTGCAATGAATAGCATGCAGCATTTTTGAATTATCAAATTTGTTATCCTGTTTCATTTGCAAACTAATACAAAGGAAAATAGATGTGTTGAGAAACATAAACAAAATCAACAAAATACAGTAGCATCCGGTTATACCGACGCTTTAACCATATAAGTTTGTCTGGGGTCCAAAATTTTAAAATAACCGTACGAACGCTATAGGAGATTCTACTGAAGAATATATATATATAAGAATTTCTGTTTTTTTTTAATTTGATTCAAAATGATAATTTATTATGAGGATTTTGAGAGCATAATTACAATGTGAGGGAAGATGAGGGTAAAAATATACACATATAATTTGGCTTTGAACAAAGAGAGAAACAACAAAGTGCATTCATTTCATTTTATTTAAACACATTTTTTTATTCCTGTTCATGTGTGTTTACATGATGTTTATCATCATTTCAGAGTGCTATTTTTGTTTTTGTAATTATTTACGCTGTCTAGATAATTGGAAAATTATAGTTGAATTATATATAAAATAACCTAGACTCGTAAATTATCAGTAAAATGGAGATGATTGACACAAAGTTTGCAAAACTTTAGAAAAAAAATGGGTTCAGGGTATAATTAAATACTGTGTTAGTATACAAATAGTTTAAAGGATCCACAAGAAAGGTTTTTATTAAATATATGCATTTGAAATATTCGGAATGTGTATGGGCATATAGTATGGATCATGTAAAATAAATAATTATTTTCTTGAAGTACATAATAAATTGAGTTCAGGCCACCTTACGGCGTCTTTTTGGCATTCACTTTTTTCGTGAGTTTCAATATTAATTTACCTGTGTTACGGGATTTTCCCCGGGGCGATAGACGACGTTGTGTAGTGGTCGTTTACGTCCCACATAATTAACACAGACGAACTCCAGTAAAGAGGCGTAAATAAAGCACATGCAAACGCCATCCCATACATTCATCGCCGTCAAATTTGACACAACGGGCAAGGTGCTGCGGAAACCATTCGAGGTAGTAAAGAAATTCAACATTGTTGTCACGCCTAGTTTGTGTTGGTAAAAGAATTTTTGTAAAAGAAAATTAAAATTAAAAAAGAATAAGAAGAGCAAGAAATTTCCATTAGAATTTTTTTTTTTAGTTGGGGGTTTATGTATTATCTTTGGTTTGGTATTAATAGTATATATATGAGCGTATCTTCAAATTTAATTGCAGGGCATATGTGGATATATTATGTATAGCGTATTAAATATCAATTACGAAAAAATTGAATATTTATATGATATCTTTACTCATTAAAATAAAAATAAACAGTACATTCTGTTTTTATATACTAACAACATTATATATGTATAGAAACTTTTCTACTAGAATCACAAAAAGACACACAGAAATTTATTTCCTAATGCATTTTAGTGTGCCTTCGAAAGTGTCTGTAGTGATTATAGATACTTACCTTATATACGGATCGAGAAGTCATAATACTTTATTTTACTTACGTATATAAACGCATGTATTATGTGATTTTGCATCGTGACTAGATTGACTAATATACATACAAAATCATGTTTATTTTTATTAGTTTGCTGTTTTGGTTACTCTTCTTCGTCTCTTTAGCTGTATACCCAATAAATTATATATATTCTTGGTCAGGACTACGAGCCGAGTTGATCTAGTCATGTCCGTCTGTCCGTATAAACGCCGAGATCTCAGAAGGTATAAGAGTAAAACTCTTGAAACTTTATATTATAATATATTTTTTTCGATAACTCATGCTATTTCTTTGTTATCGCATTAATCAATAATTTGATTTCGTTTTAGAACGTAAATTGATTGTAATTAGAGACATTAGATTATAGTACGGTGAATACAAAGATTTTGTCATTTATAGATTTTGGATAACACGCCCCTTTCGCTCTAATTTTTAATAAAAAGTATTTCATGTACTAGAGACTAGTGCTTTATATTATGCTATGAAAGATTGATAAAGATAGTCCCAATACAAGAGAATGAGCGTAAGCTCAGTCGCTGTTAAGTGTGCAGTTATGCAGTTAGCAGTATATGTACAAAAGAATGCGTACAAGAACCGTAGAATGATTAGAAAAAAGATCTTTGCAGGACTATATGCAAAATGATATTTTCTTCAAAATATTGTGCATTATTTAAGTGCATAAAATGGTGGTATTTCATACAATGCATCTCCAACTAGGTCTTTTTTTTAGTCTTAGGAACATAATTAAAACTTCAAGTCTCTTATTTAAGGATTAATAGTTTAAATCAAATAAAATTGTATGCTTGTCAATAAAAATTTGGATTAAAAAATTTTTTAATCTACCCAAGTTTCCAAATAATGGTATATTCTCATAAAAATGAAAAGACATACAAAGGGTAAGCATGCATTAAAGTATGGCTTGTACTGTGGCTAGTGCAATAAATAATAAAAGTGCAAGGGTAAAATGTACATTTACTAGGAAACAGATGAAAATATTTACTTATTTCAAATTCTAGGCCCCTAGGTCTAATATCTAATGAATTCTTCGAATACTTTGAATAGATCGCAAGCCCTTTTATGCACTCTTGGTTAAGGAAAAGTTCCATTACTTATTATTACTTGCTAGATTTTCACTGTCTAAAATACCATAAAACTAATAATCGGAGAGATATGACATAATTGTTTTTATATGAGCTTCTGATATAATTTTAATTTGGTTGAACTGTAAATTGACTTGTATTTATTCTTTTGCATTAAACATTTTGTATTTGTTTTACGTACCGATCATAACCCGTGCTGGTACTGCATTCCACTCTAGCCAAAATGTGATAAACGACGAGGTGACCAATATAATGCCAGGTATAAAAACGGTTGTAAAATAATATGCACGATCACGGGTAAATGTCATTTCGACTTGCAGGCAACTGTAATTTCCTTAAAGTACAATGCCAAAATCATTGAATTTGGGCCACACAATAAAAATTATACGCAATTTTAAGTCTATTGATGCAGACGAATCAAAAACCAGAGGCAGAGCCACAGCCAGTATATATACAGATTTATAAAGATGCTACCTCTCCTATCAAAGCTCTAAATATTTTCATTTTAAGTTGGACTTCCATGGAAAAAAAATTAATAAAAACAAAATAAAAATAAAAAGCATTTATCTAAGCTTTTTGATAGATCCTATCAAAGCTCTAAATATTTTCATTTTAGGCTGTATTTCCATAGAAAAAAATAATAAAATTAAAAAACATTTATCTAAGCTTTTTGATTGATTCAGTTTTGGTTGGTTGGTTTGTATAGAGACCATTGCTAGGAACTATAAGCATATATATAATTTAGAAACCATGCTCAAAATCCATAAAGCAATATTTTGTTAAGAGGAAGTGTCGCATATTTTTTTTTGCAATGTTAACGTTTGAAGTAAATGCTTTTAAATAAATAAATTTTTTTTTAATAAGATGTGTCTTCAAATGCGAACTACTTCAAAAAGCAGGGAGGCAATTTACAAGTTGTCGCTTAATCAAATTTAAATTATGATTATAAATTGCATATGAAAAGGACAGAAGAATTGTTGTAAGTCTATCGCTACAAATGCGAAAAAACTGAAATTTTAAACTTATAAAATTTGTTTACCTTTTTTTTTTGTGAAAAAGCAAGGTCAAATTTATATAAAGCAAATATGTTTTTGGTAGTTTTTTTTATACTTTGTTTTGGGGAATTATTAAACTGGTACTTTATTATATACTATTCGTTACCTATCATTGATCTAGCAGGCACTGCATTCCATTCTAGCCAGAAAGTTATAAAAGATGACGTCACCAATATAATGCCAGGTATAAAAACGGTGGTAAAATAGAACGCACGATCTCTCGTAAAGATTAAATCGACCCTAAGGCAGCTGTAGTTCCCTATTTAATTTTTGATAACATTTATGTACGTTGTTAATGATTTTGTAGTAGTAGAGGCAGCACAAATATTTTTGTAAAAGATATATTTATTTTATTTTATTTTAATTATATTTTTTGTTTGTTTAGAAGTAGACAATAAGTAGAACATTAGGTACGCAAAACAATGTTCTAAAAATATATATTTTTTTATTTTAATTAGCGTTACTAATATTCAGACTTCATGAAGAAACTTAAGTTATTGCTCATTCCCATCAAAACAATTAAAATAAAAGACTAATATAATAACCATGACTTTAAACAAAATCTATCCTTAGGATAAACAAATTAAATCATATGTAAAGGGCAAACACAAGATATTGGCGTTATTAAATTTGATCACCATGGGGTAACTTACCTCGCCAACTATTTTGATCACATGCCGTTGTTTGATTTTTAATCAAATATGCATTTAATGTTGTTAACGAGGGGCTTTTCCGTAATGTGTCTTCATCATTCTTCCAAACATATTTGATTTGTGCTTCCTCGTAAGAAACTGACCCATATGTAAGGATATAAAATATATGGAGATAATCATAAAATCAGTTACAAGTTTTTATAAATTGGCCCAATAATTTTCTGAAGTTTTTTATGCCCCATTGAAAATGGGAAATCAGGGTATAATGGTTTTGTGAGAAGTATGTAAAAGGCAGAAGGAATCATCGCAGACCCCATAAAGTATATATATCCTTGATCAGGACGACGAGCTGAGTCGATATAGCTTTGTCCGTCCGTCCGTCTGTCTGTCCGTCCGTCCAATCGTCTGCCTGTTCGTCCGTCCGTCCGTATGAGCAAACCGATCTCATAAGATATAAGAGCTATAGAGCTGAAATTTGGCATGCATACTCGTGTATATCATAGGCACAAGTAAAAGTTTATCTTATTTTTTTTCGATAACTCATCATCATCATTTTTTATCGAGAATGATCAAAAGATCGACTTAGTTATTTCAGCCTAATTTAAACACTTTTAGACCTGGAGACTTCAAATTTGCGTTGTTTATAAAGTTAATGGATACAAAGATTTTTTAATTTACTGATTTTGGTAGTGATGTAAAAAATGATCGATGCATCGAGCATCGAAGTCTTATTGCCAATTTTTACGGATGTTTCCCGATGTTTTCGCTGACTCCGATGTTGAACGATGCATCGATGTTTTGCAAAACAGAGACTTGAAATTTTTTCCTAGGTTCGTGTATAGTACGCGCATATCGAGTTTTACTTTAAATATCGATAACTTGCCCGTTATTTTATTATAAACATTGAAATTAGTATGCAATTGACTCTTGTTTAGAACAGATGCAGTGTTAGATTGACTATTACATACATAGTAGCGGACAGCACGATAGCCTAGTCGCTTGCTCGCGTCTATCACATAAGCTCTGTAACTCTAATAATCACTAATAAACTAATCGTTAAGTAAATTCAATCGTTTAATAATTTAAAGCTATTCGAAAAATCTCGATAGCTCAATATTTGGTAACCCCGACGTGATCTCTTTCGGTTTCTTTCTACATATATGTATATTGACACTCTCAAATACATGCATGCATACACCCGTAAACATAAGCAATTAGTTGCTTGCCGTTTCGTTGCAAATTCGCCAGACACTCTTTCGTTCGGTCTGCAATACACTGGCATCCATAAAAACAGTGCCCGTGTGAAAACTTCTGCAAGTGACAATCTAATATAGAATCTGCTAATTTCTGAACTGTGTGCTGTGAACTGTGTGTTCTATAGCTTCAATCTATACGTGATTAAGTTTGCATAAGCAAAGTGTAATTACATGCTTGCCGTTATTCTTCGTTGCCAGGCCAAAGAGTGCAACTTTCGCCTCGGCTGCGATACGAGCGCGTCCATAATAATCGTACCGGTGTGCAACAATTCATACGCGCGCATTATTTGAGTACCATAATATAATTCTGTGACAGTTTATTAAAATAGCAAGTGCTGTGCTCAACAAATAAAATTTATTCCAAGTTTTGTGTCTGCTCTAGAGCATACATTTACTTTTACTCTTGTAATCGCGCTCGCACCAACAACTTTGAACTCTATCGTGTTACTCTTGTGCTGTACTCGTCATGGCGACTTTAGATGCTAGTGCAGTTGCTCCCGAAGATCGCGTGCGGTTTTATAAGCTCAAGGTACAGTCGGTGTTTGAACGCGTAAGAAACTACAAGCCAAAGTTGATTCAGATGCTCTTGCCGATAACAGTGACAGCACTTTAAATGTTCTACTGGATCATATCGACAAGCTCAGCTACTCCTTTAGCAAGGCCCATGAAAGTCTAAAGGAGCTCGATTTTACTGAGATGTCCAGCGATTTGCGCACTGACTTTGGTGATTTAATAATGGTCATGCTGTCAACAATAATGTCCGAAGTTCAAAGTTGTACTGCTCAAGTGCATCATAGTTCCACGTTTAGTCGACCAAGTGACCCTCCTCACGCAACCGCTCCCAGAATGCAGTCCGCACCTGCGTTGCCGCCGTTAATGCTACCTACGTTCAGCGGTGGATAAGATAATTGGGCTGATTTCTGGCAGATCCAGCTTTCCATAGGCCGCAACGAGTAGATCTGCTTATCGGAGCTAGCCTGTTTTATGATTTGCTCTGTGTTGACCAAATCAAGTTGATGCCTGGACTTCCATTGTTACAGAAGAATCGTCTTGGTTGGGTTGTCTCAGGTGGCGAGGCTCGCAACAACAACTCCGTGCTAATAGCTTCTAAGGCGCCTTCGGATCCGATTACAGACTCCTGTGCTGATATCAAGTTGGACAGTCTCGTTCGTCGCTTTTGGGAAGTTGAGCGCTCAGCGATTCTATTGTAAAGATCAGCAAGGAAGACTCAGACTGCGAAGCGCATTTTGCGAGGCATCACAATTGATTGGCTAGTGGCCAATATACAGTACCCCTGCCTGTTAAGCTTAGTTTCGATCTTCATGAAGATTCTTATGAGCAAGCGCGACATCGGTTTCTAAATTTGGAGAAGAAATTGAGTCGTTTGCCGCATATAGAGTCTCAATACTCAGCATTTCTCAAAGAGTATCTTGAACTTGGTCACATGTAACGCGTTCCTCTAAATTCATTTCATCTATGCAGATATTTTCTTCCTCATCACTGCGTTTTGAAGGAAGATAGCAAAACCACCAAGCTTCGCGTCGTCTTTGATGGATCAGCATCTACCACAACCGGGTATTCGTTGAATAACATTCAAATGTCAGGTCCCGTCATTCTGCCGAAATTGGTCGACATATTACTGCGCTTCCGATCTTATCCAGTTGCACTCACCGGCGATATTTGCAAAATGTATCGTTGCGTGAAGGTACCTGAGCCGGACAGCTATCTGCAATATGGAGGAATTCGCCAGATGATGAGTTGGAAGCTTTCAGGCTTGATACTGAAATCTTGGCATGTGGGAAGTTTAAATTGAGAAATCCCATAGTACTGGATGGTGTAACTGACTGCGACAAGGAATCGCTCATTAGATTCAATGATGGCGGCGACATTACAAAGACACTTGGCCTTGCGTGGGATCCAGCATCTGATCAACTTCTTTTCTCATATCTAGCCTTGAATTCAGCCTCTAAGCCCTCCAGACGCTCTGCTCTCTCGTCTATTGCTCGGTTTAACGACCCCTCGGTCTGGTCGGCCCAGTAATAACGAAGGCTAAAATTTTCTTGCAACAACTCTGGAAGCGAAAACTTGATTGGGACGAGAGTCTTCCGTCTGCATGTCACACTGCATGGCTAGATATTTGCAGTAACTTTGGCAGGGGTCTTGGTAGTGCATTTCCCAGGTCTATGGATTCTGCGATGCGGCATACGGAGCCTGCATTTATATTGTATCCAGAGGACAGCATACCAAGTCTACTTTGTTCCAAGTCTCGAGTTGCACCTCTGAAAACGCTCACGGTTCCCAAGCTGGAACTATGCGGGGCAGAGTTGCTTGCGCGTCTAATGGATGAAGTGGCTCGTTTAGGCATCTTCGCAGGCGACTTTCATTCTCTACTGTAGCGCTTTTTTGGATCAATGACGAGCCCGGAAGATTTAACATTGGCATCGCCACGATACAAGATCTCACATCAGCAATGGAGTGGCACTATATACCTACAATGCTGAATCCCGCGGATATATTATCTCGGGGTGCATTGCCCTCGGATTTAAATGTATCACTTTGGTTCAACGGTCCAGGTTTCCTCTGTAAGCCCAGATCTCAGTGGCCAGTCTCAGCACTTCCAGAAAGAACTCCGATTGAGCGTCGAAGAACTGTGCTTCTTGTAAAGGACTCAGTCCATGATGTCTCTATGGACTGCAAGTATGTAAATTCTTTCGGCCGCTTGCAGCATAAGTTTGCATACGTATCAAAGTTTAAAACAAGTAAGAAGACTCTAGTCGAGACTGCTCGACTAGGAGATACCCTGAACCCTCTAATCTGGTATTCCAATCAGTCTGCACTTCTTTTCGACACACATACATACATACGCACGTATTAGAACGCGCTCTGCTAACTGCGCAGTAAGCAGCGACTGCGCTTGGGCTGCGCTGCAGTGTCGGCAACATTATAATAATTTATTCGTTGAATAATTTAATTTCTAGACGTACAATCTTAATGTAACTTTCAGAACTTAATCATATGGTGAAAATGTATGTACATTCCAAAGCACAAGTCTCTCGTACTCGCCTTTTACAAAGGTATGGGTGAGGGGGTGGATATAGAGGTGGGGGGTAAATTACAACAAAAATCGAAATTATATCAAATACATATAAGTTTACATTTAAAATTTGGAAGCTCTAGCTCTAAGGGTGTGGGAGATATAATTAAATAACTAGCTTTCGAAAAGGTTTTTAATCGATAATAAAATATCGGAAGTAGTTATCGATATATAGAGAAAACTTGATATGCGCGTGATATACACGGACCTAGGAAAAAAATTTCAAGACTAGCTCTTATATCTTCTGAGATCGACGCGTTCATACATACGGACGGACGGACGGACGGATCGACGCGTTCATACATACGGACGGACGGACGGACAGACAGGGCCAAATCGACTCAGCTCGTCACCCTGATCAGGAATATATATACTTTGTGGGGTCTCCCACGTCTCCTTCTGCCTGTTACATACTTTTAACAAAACCATTATACCCCGATTTCCCATCTTCAATGGGTTCAGGGTATAAACAAGTAAGAAAGCTCTAGTCGAGACTACTCGACTACGAGATCCCCTGAACCCTTGGAGTAATAGCTATTTCAATAATTTTTCGCGTCTTTCAGCTTACACAAGAAACACGCACACACACACACACACACGCACGCACGCACGCACGCACACACAGGCATACATACACACACATACATACACACACACACACACACACACACACACACACACACCCACATACACAAACAATTACATACATATACACACACAAGCATAAACACGCATGGGCGGCAGTGAGCGCTTACTATGAGAACTTAATTGCTTAATAACTTTTTTGT